AATGTGCGTGAGTGTGCACGAGCAACCTCATCAATGACAAACCTGAAGTCCCCCCCCCCCCCCCCCAAGATCTAAATCTGGCTCTGCTGCCTCTCATGGAAGCTAATGTGCTCTGTTAGCTTCTTCTGTGGACACAATGGCTGGGGAAAGTGACAGCAGAAACTGGAAGCGATGTTATACAGGTTGCTTTTGGGATCTTACTAGGTAGCAGAGATAAACAAAAGGAGGTTCACTTTTCTCCATCTGATGGAAAGCGTTGGATGCCGTGGTGTAAAGCACACCGCCACTGGACTCTAGAGCAGAGGAGACGTGTTCTCTTAGTGACCAATCATGCTTCTCTGTCTGGCAATCCGATGGACGTGTCTGGGTTTGGCAGTTGCCAGGATGAACGGTACTTGCTGACTGCATTGTGCCAAGTGTAAAGTTTGGTGGAGGGGGGATGATGGGTTGTGGGGTTTTTTTTTTCAAGGGTTGGCCCCCTAGTTCCAGTGAAGGGAACTCTTAAAAAGCGACATTTTGGACAATTTCATGCTCCCGACTTTGTGGGAAGAGTTCGGGGATTGGCCCCTTCCTGTTCCAACATGACTGCGCACCAGTGCACAAAGCAAGGTCCATAAAGACATGGAGGAGCCAGTTTGGGGTGGAGGAACTTGACTGTCCTGCACAGAGTCCTGACCTCAACCCCCATAGAACACCTTTGGGATGAATTAGAGCGGAGACTGTGAGCCAGGCCTCCTCCCCCGACATCAGTGCTGACCTGACAAATGTGCTTCTGGAAGAATGGTCCAACCTTCCCATAGACACCCTCCTAAACCTTGTGGACGGCCTTCCCAGAAAAGTGAAGCTGTTATAGCTGCAAAGGGCGGGGCCAACTCAATATTGAACCCTACGGACTAAGACTGGGGGGCCATTAAAGTTCATGTGCGTGGAAAGGGCGGGGCCAACTCAATATTGAACCCTACGGACTAAGACTGGGGCGCCATTAAAGTTCATGTGCGTGGAAAGGGCGGGGCCAATTCAATATTGAACCCTACGGACTAAAACTGGGGGGGCCATTAAAGGTCATGTGTGTGGAAAGGGCGGGGCCAACTCAATATTGAACCCTACAGACTAAGACTGGGGGGGCCATTAAAGTTCATGTGCGTGGATAGGCCAGCGGTCCAATACTTTTGGCCATATAGTGTATCTTTATATTTAGAACCTGAAACATGTTTTTCAATGAAATAAACTGACCTCACAAATGTGCTTCTGGAAGAATGGTCCAACCTTCCCATAGACACCCTCCTAAACCTTGTGGACGGCCTTCCCAGAAAAGTTGAAGCTGTTATAGCTGCAAAGAGCGGGGCCAACTCAAAATTGAACCCTACGGACTAAGACTGGGGGGCCATTAAAGGTCATGTGTGTGTGGAAAGGGCGGGGCCAACTCAATATTGAACCCTATGGACTAAGACTGGGGGGCCATTAAAGGTCATGTGTGTGGAAAGGGGGGGGGCCAACTCAATATTGAAACCCTACGGACTAAGACTGGGGCGCTATAGATGTTCATGTGCGTTGAAAGGGCGGGGCCAACTCAATATTGAACCCTACGGACTAAGACTGGGGGGCCATTAAAGATCATATGCGTGGAAAGGGGGGGGGGGCTACTCAATATTGAACCCTACGGACTAAGACTGGGGCGCCATTAAAGTTCATGTGCTTGGAAAGGGCGGGGCCAAACTCAATATTGAACCCTACGGACTAAGACTGGGGGGGGGGGCCATTAAAGGTCATGTGCGTGGAAAGGGTGGGGCCAACTCAATATTGAACCCTACGGACTAAGACTGGAGGGGGCCATTAAAGGTCATGTGCGTGGAAAGGGCGGGGCCAACTCAATATTGAACCCTACGGACTAAGACTGGGGCTCTGTTAAAGTTCATGTGCGTGGAAAGGGCGGGGCCAACTCCATATTGAACCCTACAGACTAAGACTGGGGGGCCATTAAAGGTCATGTGCGTGGATAGGCCGGCGGTCCAATACTTTTGGCCATATAGTGTATCTTTATATTTAGAACCTGAAACATGTTTTTCAATGAAATAAACTTTCTCGGCTCAGTAAAGACAAACAGTCACCGGTCAGTCCCTGGAAATGACAGTATTCAGGTACATCTCTGTCTCTCACAGGACGCACAGAGTAATACACGGGTTCCAGCGGCAGTAGCGGCAGAAAAGGTGACAGCCGCTTTGACAATGAATCATACTTAAAGCTGCCTGTCAGTCAGACAAAGGCGGTAATTTGTCAGCTGGGCTGCAGTTATTGCACTTTTAAACGGCGCTCATACATTTAGTTAAACGTTTTGTTGACATGACAGGGCCCATCAGAGTGTAAAATGTTAATTTTCTCCAGATTATTTATCAACGTGAAGCGGTGTTGTGACATCGAGTTATATATTTTTTGCTGTTGTGTCGTCAGATAGAATACGGCTTGGAGTTGTTGAATTTGCCATGCAAGCTAGCAGAACCTGATACAGCCTGGGAGAAAAAAAATTACATTTCGAATTGTGCAATGTTATTTCAAGTCAAAATGGGTCCAAAGTTTCTAGAGGCAACATGGATGGAGGTAAGAATAATCTTCGGCTGGACGATCCCACATGGAAGAAAAATATCTTTGAAATATATTTTAACAATTCTATCCAAATATATTGACATACGGGTGAAACTCGTAAAAATGAGAATATGGTGCAAAAGTTCATTTATTTCAGTTATGCAACTTAAAAGGTGAAACTAATATATGAGACTCATTACATGCAAAGCAAGATAGTTCAAGCCGTGATTTGTCATCATTGTGATGATTATGGTTTACAGCTCATGAAAACCCTGGGGCTGTGGAGGATGGAGTGGTGGGAGGAGTGGAGGAAATCGGTTGTTAGGTGAGGGTGGGGTAGGCTTCCCTGAAGAGATGGGTTTTCAGGGTGCGCCTGAAGGTGAGGAGGGTAGGTGACAGTCTGATGGATTGGGGTAGGGAGTTCCAGGAGGATGGGGGAAGTCCTAGAGAAGTCCTGGAGTCGGGAGTGGGAGGAGGAGACCAGGGAGCTAGAGAGTAGGAGGTTCTGTGAGGAGCGAAGGGTACGGGTAGGGTGGTATTTGGGTATCAGGTCAGTTAGGTAGTTTGGGGCGGCGTTGTGAATGGCTTTGTAGGTCAGAGTTAGTCATTTGAATTTGATGCGTTGGGCAATCGGGAGCCAATGAAGGGATTGGCAGAGGGGGGAGGCAGATGTGGAGCGGTTGGTGAGGTGGATGAGTCTAGTCGCTGAGTTCAGGATAGACTGGAGTGGGGATAGAGTTTGTTTGGGTAGGCCAGTGAGAAGGGAGTTGCAGTAGTCCAGACGTGAGATGATGAGGGAGTGTATGAGTTGTTTAGTAGTGTCTGGGGTGAGGAATATGCGTATCTTGGAGATGTTGCAGAGGTGGAGCCTGCATGACTTTGATAGTGATTGGACATGAGGTTGGAAGGAAAGGTTTGAGTCCAGGGTGACACCCAGGACTTTGGCGTGTGGGGTGGGATTGATGGTGGCGTTGCTAGTCGTGATGGAGAGGATGGGGGGGGGGGGGGGCGCGGGCTTGGGGGGAAAACCAGGAGCTTGGTTTTGGACAGGTTTAACTTGAGGAAATGGAGCGACATCCAGTCTGATATGTCGTTCATGAGGTGGGCGATGCGCGGTGGAGAGAGAAGGGGTGAGGTGAGGGGTGGAGAGGTAAATTTGTGTGTCGTCGGTATAGAGGGCGATAGTTGAAGCCGTGGGAGTGTATCACGGGAATACGGGATATTCCCATGGTGGGTGCAATCACAATGGCAGAGAAATTGCCAGGATATGAGAATTTTCTACCTTGCAGAGGGTCATGTAGGAGAATATAATAAGAAAGGAAGAGAGAGAAGGTCATGAGCAGAACATTTTGTACCTCATGGAGAGGGTCATGTTGGATGGTGTGATTTTCCACATGGTAGGGAGTGTAATGAGAATGTTATAGAGCATCAGTAGCCGAATATTTTCCACCTTACAGCTGGTCATGTTTAATGGTGTAATATCCCCATGGTGGGTTTAACCAAAAAGATAAGGAGAAGGTCATAAGCAGAATATTTTCTACCTCATTTCTACTTTATGGAAGGTCATGTTGGGGGGTGTGATATCCCAGTATGGTGGAGTATAATCAGAAAGGTAGAGAGAAGGTCATGATCAGAACATTTTTTCCCTCATGAAGGGTCATGTTGGAGGGTATGAAATCTCAGTGGTGGGGAGTATAATCAGAAATGGTAGAGAAGGTCAGTAGGAATATATTTTCTACCTCATGGCTTGTTGTATGTTGGAGGGTGTGAAAACTCATGGTCAGAACATTTTTCCCTCATGGAGGATGAAGTTGGAGGGTGTGATATCTCAGTGGTGTGGAGTATAATCAGAAAGGTAGAGAGATGATCATGATCTGAACATTTTCGTCCTCATGGAGGGTCATGTTGGAGGGTGGGATATCTCAGTGGTGGGGATTGTAATCAGAAAGGTAGAGAGAAGGTCATGATCAGAACATTTTTTCCCTCATGAAGGGTCATGTTGGAGGGTATGATATCTCAGTGGTGGGAAGTATAATCAGAATGGTAGAGAAGGTCAGTAGGAATATATTTTCTACCTCATGGCTTGTTATGTTGGAGGGTGTGAAAACTCATGGTCAGAACATTTTCTCCCTCATGGAGGATGAAGTTGGAGGGTGTGATATCTCAGTGGTGTGGAGTATAATCAGAAAGGTAGAGAGAAGATCATGATCTGAACATTTTCGTCCTCATGGAGGGTCATGTTGGAGGGGTATCATGGTCAGAACATATCTCAGTGGTGAGGATTATAATCAGAATGGTAGAGAAGGCCAGTAGGAAAATATTTTCTACCTTATGGCTGGTCATGTTGGATGGTGTGAAAACTCATGGTCAGAACCAGGAGCGGACTGACAACTCATGGGGCCCCTGGGCAATAGGGGATCATGGGGCCCCTGTGTCCTCGCCCACACTCAAACCACACCCAAAAAAGCCTATGAAAGTTACCAGGGGCATTTCATGGGGCCCCCTACTTACCCCGGGCCCTCGGGTAGTGCCTGAGTTCCAAAATGGTCAGTCCGCCCCTGGTAAGAACATTTTCTCTCTCAAGGAGGGTCATGTTGGAGGGTGTGATATCTCAGTGGTTGGGGCAATTGTAATCAGAAAGTTAGAGAGAAGGTCATGATCAGAATATTTTCTCTCTCAAGGAGGGTGATGTTGGATGGTGTGATATACTGTATCAGTGGTGGGGGAGTATAATCAGAACGGTAGGGTGAAGGTCAGTAGGAAAATATTTTCTACCTTATGGTTGGTCATGTTGGATGGCATGAAAACTCATGGTCAGAACTTTGTCTCTCTTATGGAGGGTGATGTTGGAGGGAGGGATATCTCAGTGGTGGCGAGTATAATCAGAAAGTTAGAGAGAAGGTCATGATCAGAACATTTTCTCCCTCATGGAGGATCATGTTGGAGGGTGGGATATCTCAGTGGTGGGAAGTATAATCAGAAAGGGAGAGAGGAGGTCAGTAGCAGAACATTGTCTCCCTCATTGGAGGGTCATGTTGGAGGGAGGGATATCTCATGGTGGGGATTGTAATCAGAAAGTTAGAGAGAAGGTCATGATCAGAACATTTTCTCCCTCATGGAGGATCATGTTGGAGGGTATGATATCTCAGTGGTGGGAAGTATAATCAGAAAGGGAGAGAGGAGGTCAGTAGCAGAACATTGTCTCCCTCATTGGAGGGTCATGTTGGAGGGTGGGATATCTCAGTGGTGGGGATTGTAATCAGAAAGTTAGAGAGAAGGTCATGATCAGAACATTTTCTCCCTCATGGAGGATCATGTTGGAGGGTATGATATCTCAGTGGTGTGGGAAGTATAATCAGAAAGGGAGAGAGGAGGTCAGTAGCAGAACATTGTCTCCCTCATTGGAGGGTCATGTTGGTTGGTGTGATAGCTCTTGTTGGGTTGGTGGTAAGTACAACGAGAAAGACAGAAGTCAGTAGCAGAACATTTCCTACCGTATTGGAGGGTGTGAAATCCCCTAAGAAGACAATAAAGGTAAGAATATCTGCAGTAAATCAAATAACAAAAATAGAAAAGTCACCAAACTATCTTTTTTTTACTACAGTAATCACATTCTCGGGGGTAAGATGTAAATGAATCATTTACCACTTAATTAGATGTTGTGTCTCTGTGATTTGTTTTCTGAATAAAAATATCTGTTTTTACAAATTAGTGCTTCATTTTGAATCCTTCAGAACAAGCCAAGCATTGATCATTTCTCAATAACTTTATTGAGACAACAGGTCCATCTAACCCTGTGAAGCTCCTCCCCCTTAGTCTTGCCAGCTGGAATCCTTCCTTCTGTTTATTTATTTAAAGAATTTCAGTCAAAATGAAAACCAAACTGCGCATTTTCCTACAACTGTCATTTTTTTGGATAGCTTTAATATACATAGAAACATAGAAAAGTGACGGCAGAAAAAGACTGAGAGTGGTCCATAGAGTCGGACTTTTTTTTTATTTTTGTGTGGTGGTTTTTTTTCAGAGGGGGGGTGGTTGTTTTTCTATGTTTTGTGTTTGTTTTTTTTTTTGGGGGGTGTTTTTTTGTTTTGTGGTTTGTTTGTTTTTTTTTGGGGGGGTTGTTTGTTTTTTATGCTTTGTGTTTTTTTGTTTTTGTTTGTTTTTTGGGGAGGTGTTTTTTTTTGGAAGGGGGGGTTCCTTTTTTGTTTTCGTGTGTTTTTTTTTTTTTTTGCGGGGGTGTTTTTTTTTCTAACTTTTTTGTCTGACTGTAGATCTATGCGTGCCCCAAAATATGTGTTTTAAATGAACCTTAAATTCCATGTGCGCACATGACCCTGAGGCTATAAACCCTGGTGGGCTTTCCCTTTAGAAAGCCCAGCACTGCCTTCTGCTTTCAGTCAGACGCAGGGGCGGACTGACCATTTAGGCACTCGGGCACTGCCTGAGGGCCCGGGGTCAGTGGGGGCCCTTAGAGATGCCCCTGGTACCTTTCATAGGCTTTTTTGGGTGTGGTTTGAGTGTGGGCGAGGACACAGGGGCCCCATGATTTCCTATTGCCTGGGGGCCCCATGAGTTGTCAGTCCGCCCCTGGTCAGACGCTCGAGATGTTGCTGCGGTGGGAGAGAGGGGAGAGTGGTCTTCTTCCTCTCACACTCCAGCCCTGCTGTACAGGGATAGCAGGGGCCTGACACCAGGGAGCTGATACCGGGGGGCTGATATCAGGGGTCTGATACCAGGGGGCTAACACCAAGGGGCTGACACCAGGGGGCCGATACCAGGGGGCCAACACCAGGGGGCCGACAACAGGAGGCTGATACCGGAGGGCTGATACCAGGGGGCTAACACCAGGGGCTGATACCAGGGGGCTGACAACAGGGGGCTGATACCAGGGGCCGACACCAAGGGGGCTGATACCAGGGGGCCGACAACAGGGGGCTGATACCAGGGGGCCGACAACAGGGGGCTGATACCAGGGGGGGCCGACACCAAGGGGGCTGATACCCAGGGGGCCGACAACAGGGGGCTGATACCAGGGGGCTGACACCCAGGGGCTGACACCAGGGGACTGACACCAGGGGGCTGATACCAGAGGGCTGACACCAGGGGGCTGATACCGGGGGGCTGACACCAGGAGGCCAATACCGGGGGGCTGATATCGGGGGGCTGACACCAGGAGGCCAATACCGGGGGGCTGATATCGGGGGGCTGACACCAGGGGGCTGATACCAGGGGGGCTGACACCTGGGGGCTGATACCCGGGGGCTGATACCAGGGGGGCTGACACCAGGGGGGCTGACACCGGGGGGCTGACACCGGGGCAGATTCACAAATTGGAATTCTTAATAAATCATAATTTTTAATAAAAATACAAAGTTGCATTTATTCATTTGCATTGTTTATTTCCGGAGTTCAGCTTTAAAGAGGAACTAAAACCCTCCCATCAGGAACTATTTGTAATCCTTATGTGATTTCTGGCCTAGGCCAAGATGAAGAGAGGAGAAGAGAGGAGGAGGGGAGGAGGGGCTTTCTCAGCTAGGGCACACCCTTTAGACTTTATTTCATGTTTCTCCAATTGTTTCCTAATTTCTGGCCTTGGCCAAAATGGAGTCCTCATGGGAGGAGGGGCTTTCTCAGGTAAGCACACTCTCCTGTCTGCATGAGCTAAGGGCAGATGGAATCCAGGAAGTAAATGTTACATGCTTTTTTATTTATATTTCTCTGTTTTCTGTTTCTGGTTTCTGGCCTGGGACAAAATGAAATCTTCACGGGAGGAGGGGCTTTCTCAGCCAAGCACAACCTCCTGCCTAGATTTATTTACTTCCTGGTTTCTGGCCTAGGCCAAAATGATGTCATACATCCTAGGAGTCTTCTTGGGAGGAGTTGCTTTCTGGTGTCTGGCCTAGGCCAAAACTAAATCTTCATGAGAGGAGGGGCTTTCTCAGCTATGCACACCCTCCTGCCTGGATGTCTAACCTAAGGGCAGATGGATTTCAGGAAGTAAATGCTACATGAATCAACCATGCCCTTACTCAAGATGGCTGCAGCTAGAAATGCTAGGGAGGTATTTTTCAAAAACAAAGCATGGAGACGTGAATGGATGGGGGAGTTAAAGTTAATTAACCACTTCCAGTCCAGGACACTTTCCTCCCCTTCCAGTCCGAACACTTTCACCCCCTTCCAGTCTGGACACATAACCCCCCTTCCTGTCCTGACACTTTCCTCCCCTTCCAGTCCAGACACTTTCACCCCTTCCAGTCCGGACACTTTCCCCCCCTTCCAGTCCTGACACTTTCCCCCCCTTCCAGTCCTGACACTTTCCTCCCTTTCCAGTCCGGACACTTTCACCCCCTTCCAGTCCCAACACTTTCACCCCCCTTCCAGTCCGGACACTTTCACCCCCTTCCAGTCCCAACACTTTCCTTCCAGTCTGGACACTTTCACCCCCCCCTTCCAGTCGGACACTTTCCTCCCCTTCCAGTCCGGACACTTTCACCCCCTTCCAGTCCGGACACTTTCACCCCCTTCCAGTCCGGACACTTTCCTCCCCTTCCAGTCTGGACACTTTCACCCCCTTCCAGTCCGGACACTTTCACCCCCTTCCAGTCTGGACACTTTCCTCCCCCTTCCACTCCGGACACTTTCACCCCCTTCCAGTCCGGACACTTTCACCCCCTTCCAGTCCGGACACTTTCCTCCCCTCCAGTCTGGACACTTTCACCCCCTTCCAGTCCGGACACTTTTCCTCTCCCCCCAGTCTGGACACTTTCACCCCCTTCCAGTCCGGACACTTTCCCCCCTTCCAGTCCGGACACTTTTCACCCCCTTCCAGTCCTGGACACTTTCACCCCCTTCCAGTCCGGACACTTTCCTCCCCTCCAGTCTGGACACTTTCACCCCCTTCCAGTCCGGACACTTTCACCCCCTTCCAGTCCGGACACTTTCCTCCCCTCCAGTCTGGACACTTTCACCCCCTTCCAGTCCGGACACTTTCACCCCCTTCCAGTCCGGACACTTTCCTCCCCTCCAGTCTGGACACTTTCACCCCCTTCCAGTCCGGACACTTTCCTCCCCTTCCAGTCCGGACACTTTCACCCCCTTCCAGTCCGGACACTTTCCCCCCCTTCCAGTCCGGACACTTTCACCCCCTTCCAGTCCCAACACTTTCACCCCCTTCCAGTCCAGACACTTTCCTCCCCTTCCAGTCCGGACACTTTCACCCCCTTCCAGTCCGGACACTTTTTCCCCCCTTCCAGTCCGGACACTTTCACCCCCTTCCAGTCCCAACACTTTCCCCCCTTCCAGTCTGGACACTTTCACCCCCCTTCCAGTCCGGACACTTTCCTCCCCTTCCAGTCCGGACACTTTTCACCCCCTTCCAGTCCGGACACTTTCACCCCCTTCCAGTCCGGACACTTTCCTCCCCTTCCAGTCTGGACACTTTCACCCCCTTCCAGTCCGGACACTTTCACCCCCTTCCAGTCCGGACACTTTCCTCCCCCTTCCACTCTGGACACTTTCCTCCCCTCC